AGGTAATTTGTACTTAAAAGAGTAAATAGGCTATATCCTTTAAGAAATGGAAAACCTATAAATTTTGGGAAGCATTGTCTAGAATTAGGGGCTTTAGAAAAACCCCATGACGTCTATTAGAATCCTCTTGTTGACATCAAGAAATATGGTGAAAGGATGGTGTGTCCCAAAGCTGGGTGAGATGCCATGATTTTGCCAGTGCCCTGTCTCTGGTAAACACAGTCTTACGGCGTAGGCAGGAGTTACGTTTGTCATGTGATCAGCCCCTTGAAAGCACTCTGTAGCCATGCCCTGACAGAAGTGCATGATGCAGAGCGCTTTAAAAGTCCCTTATTGTGCAACAAATTAACCCTCATTATACAAGGGTTCAGATGAAGGTGCTTCAAAGGAGAGCACCTTTACTTCTGTTTGATTGCGCGGCTGGGCTGATGCAGCCCAGACCTGTCTCTGGTGCTGTCTGTATGATGGGGGTGGAGATCTTCAATCCACTAGAGGTGGGGGGCTGTAGTGACCTCCCTTTCCTCTCTTCTCCCCCACTCCCTTCCCCCATAGTGTAGACAGCATCAGAGTGGGGTGCGGGAGAAGGGGACGCTAGGGGGGAGAAGCTGCAGATACGAAGCTCCTTGGTTGGATCAATTCCAAAAGGAGCTCCACCCCCCCACCCTCCCAGCACAGCAAAAAATGTCTGTTGGGTTGGGATGGTCAGCTTAACTCATGACGCTTTCTGTGAAGCATCATGAGTTAGAGTGGGGAGCTGCACATCTTTCAGTGCTCTTAATCTGCACTGAGTCCATGATGATGCATCAGCTGCTCTATCCTAGTTTCAAGCTGCAACACTGTTCTGCAAGCCTAGCCTTTATTGTGGAATTGTCCCAAATTCCTTATCACCTTGGGTCCCAATAACTTTTGTTAAGTTTCCCAAAATTGGAGGTTCTCTTATATTTTGAGAGAGACACTTAAAATTGCCTGCGTCTTCACTGGGTGTCTGCATTGCAATGTTAGGAAGCTACTTTACTAATGAAGTTATTGACTGATCTGCAGTTATGGAAGAAAAGCCACAAATTCACTTTGCTGTCTGCTCTTTTTCCAAAGCTCACCCATGTCCCATGTGTGTTAGTGATGCCATACTTTGACTTTCCATACAAGGAAACTAGGTGAATGGAAATTTCAAGGATGGAAAATGAAGGGAAGAGAGGCCAGGGGACAAGGAAGATAAAACAGGGGAGTGATGGGGACAGAAGGTCAAACCCTAGAAGAAAAAATGTTTTAAAAACTGAAAAATGGATAGAAAGGCAAATCCAAAAACAGAGGCAGTCAAATTATGATTAATTTTGATACTTTATAGGAAGTTAGTTTTACACCAAAAATTTATTTGATAATAATGGATTCCTCCCCCGCCCCCTTAAAATAATGCCAGCAGATTGTGAACTATTTTTTCACTTTAGATGGTAAGGCAAACTCTTTTTCCAGGCTATAAAAATTAAAATAAATTGTTGTGCTTACATTAATATATCTGTTGATTCTGTGGAAGACAGAAGAGAACCTAGCTTGTTCTCAGTCTACTTTTCTCTCTCAATATATATTTAGATTGGAGAGGAACTACCTGCTCCTATTTTTTTCCTTTTCCTTTATTGACTGTTCATACCTGAACCTTGTTATAGGTGAAAATGACAACCTTTAATAAGGCTATTGCTCAGTGTATTGGTGTATTGCTATTAACCATTTTTCCTTGAGTATTGTGGATCTATTTTTAAAGAAATCAAAAGTGAGGATCTCTTGCAGTTTCTCTAATGAGCGTGGAATGGGTCAGTGGTGTAAGCCCAATGTCTGGAAAAACTACATTTTTATTAGATATTTCGGAAAATATTTTCTGACTTTGTGTTTTACTGGTCCATTTCTTCTGGCAATCATAGGAATGCATTTGTGGATACAGCTTCAGGCAGCCATTAGCATTAGCTAACCCTACTTGAATCTGAATAGTATAGACTTTAAAATACCAGTTCCTTTCAGTACTCTATGTTCCTGCCATTCATAGAACTGGTGCAACAATGTTTTTTCTTGGCATTAATATTAATTATATAAAAAACCTGAAGGCTCCGTGAAAACCTGGGTTCGGATACATGCTTGGTTAACTTGGCATTTTGGGGGTGTGCATGTGTGTGTACATGTGTGTTTTAGGAGAGATGTAACTTGAGTACCATGAAGCCTGTTGTATGGGAATCATTTAGACAGAATCACCTGCATGCTTTTTGTCAAAACTGAAGCTCCCCACACCCTTTTATTCTAAAGGGGTTTGTCCAAGTTGTCCTTGGTCAAAGTGTTTCATGTTTACTAGTTTGTGATGTGATATGTGCTAGGTCGGTTGCCTTTCCCCAGCATGAGCAGTTGCATTTCTGTAGTGCTATACAGTTGCAAAATGCTTTACAATATTTTAGGACCGAGGAGACTATATAAATAGACTTAAATCATTGCAATTCACAAAACTGTCTATTCCCCATTCATTTAAAAAAATGCATATGTTTTTTCCCCTATTGCTGTAATGTCATAGGAACTGATGGCTGAGGGTCCTTAGTTATCCCTCTCCTTTGGGTTGACATACATGCCATTAGGTATGCTGTGGTTGAATTAATTGCAGCACGGTATGCATCTCTAATCAAAATGGAGAGAATAATTACATTACTGCCTTTACTGATCAGTTATAGGTAGGCAACTTTCTTTCATGGCATCCAGCCTAAATGTATATTGTTTGAAAGTTTGTGGAAGCATATCTTAAAACTAGAAGAAGCTTGAATCTTTCATTTGTTACTTATTTCAGTAGCGAGATGGTGAAGTTGCTGTCTAAAGGCCTCAGGAAATAGGCACTCCAAAAAGAGAAACAGTGCATTAGGATCTAGCACAAAAGCCAGTCAGTGCTCAGGAAAAATAGTACAGGTTCTTTTGTATTTCTTTCTGAATGTTGCGTTGATGTAGGTTTCTGGAGTATCATCAGTTGATCAATAAAACATGTTACACTGTATGGTAGTAATGATTAATTCACACCTTTGGTACATAGCAAGACGTGAGGTGAAGCCAGGTGTCTATAAAGGGACTTGCAAAGTGCATTAGCCAGTTGTCTGCTAATATGGATTGTATTTCTCAGAGGAACACCACAGCACTACGAAGCACAGCAGCTACATCCTGATGTGCCAATGACATCAATAGAGTGCAGCGGCACAGCAGGTGGAGTGGAGGACCAGCAGTGAAGCAGGTTGACAAGTCCAGTCACATGTTTCCAGGTCTTTCTTGGGGATTTGGAGGAAAGACTAATCTTACTGCTATATAAAAGCTTGCTACAGTGTGCCCATATTATGAACATTCTGCAGGAATGACGCATTTAAAGCTGTATTTGAACTTTCATGAGGCAGTTGGCATAACTATACTTGGTTTTACAAAAACTGTATTGTCTTTTCATTCTTTTATGTCTTCACATTCCACAGTGGTAGGTATTCATATTAAAATATACTTGATCCTAAGTTAATATGGATTGGGGAGTGACTGGCTAGCCTGCTGTACAGCAGAGAAGGACGGGGGGGGGTTACAGTAGACCATAAGCTGATTATGAGCCAACAGTGAGCTCTTGCAAAAAAACCTGACAGCATCCTGGGTTGTATCAACAGGCTTGTCACTTGCAAATCAAGGGAAGTGATTCTTCCACTTGATTCAGCAATGGTGAGGCTTCACCTGGAGTACTATGTCCAGTTTTGGGCCTCACACTTCAAGAATGTGGACAGTTTCCAAAAAGTCCAGCACAGAGCATCAAAAATGCTTAGGGACCTAAGATGCAAGGCTTAAGAGGAAAGCCTGAAAAAGCTAGGGTTATTTAGGCAGGAGAAGAAAAAGCTGAGAGGGGATTTGATAACAGCCTTTTGTATTCATGTTTGGAATATTCTAGTGGCTATTACCTGGTCTAGCTCTCCTTTCGAGTGCTGCAGTCTCCATCAAAACAGAAAGATGGGAATTCCCAGTGCTGCCTTCCTTGTACCTCATTGCTTTTATCAGGTTAAGAGGGCTTTCTTGTGTTCATGTTGTTGTTTGTGGCTGTTGGTTTGTGGTATGTTGGGGGGGGTCCCCTCATAACTTCTTTTTCTTAAAAAAAAATCTTAATATTTCCAAATGTATTCTGCTCCGCCTTGAAATGAGCCTCAAGTTGTTAGGGAAGGAAGGACACTTGTGTTTGTGGAGTACTTGTGGCCTTGGTGACCTCTTCTAGGTTCAAAGCAAAGTGGGTTTTTTTTCTTCCCTTTGGTTTGTTTGTTTAATAGCTACAGGTTCACACAAGAGCTCCTTCCTGAATTCAAACCAGTTCATGTTATCAATTATATATTAAAGGGAGGACCAAATTCTGCCCTGGGATGTCTGTGTGCAACTCCAAATAATTCCACAGAGACATGTGCAGATCCATCTAAGGGCAGATTTAGAGTAGAGGGTGAGGGGGGAATGGAAAGCAAGAGACAGAATGGGATGTTCTGTCAGGATGAAAGAGACGTTTCAGAAAGATGGCAAGAGCTAGAGGCCAGGGTTAGAATAAGGGAAAACAACATGATGAATGTACAAGAAAGCTATTAACATAATGGAATGACTTTAGAAGTACTGATTCAGTTTATTGCTACTTATTGCCAGACAGGTTTAAAAAAAAAATCCATATTTGTAAGTCTTTGTGGTGCTTTTACTACTGACTTATTCAAATGTGATTGGCATATGGGGCATACTCTTGGTTTTGAATGAAATGACATTACCGGCAATTAAAATAAATTTGAAATGGTGTGGTGGTGCTAGTCACCTACAAGTGCAATAAATTATATGACTGTAACATTTAAAGAATTTGTAAACCAATTTTATAACTAATTATTAGACTTATAACTAATTATTAGACTTGAGTAAAACCCAGAAGTGGAAATCAACAGTATGGCATGAATACTTTTTGACTAGCTCTTACCGGTTTTCAAACATCTTTTGTATAGGTCTTTATGAGGAGATCCGCCAGTTTCGTCGGGCCTGTGGAGATGCTCATATGAAAACAATCTTGGGAACAGGAGAGTTGGGATCACTTACCAATGTGTACAAAGCCAGCATGGTCGCTATGATGGCAGGTAAGCATATGCATTTTGCTTTCCCGGATGCATTTTCTATGAAGTTTTAAATTGGAGGGGGTGACAAATCCACTTTCAGTCATGGGAAGCTAAACACTCAGAACAGGCAGAACTCTTATCCAGGAACCACTCTACTGGCAAGTAAAGGACATGGCTTGTTCTGTTTAAACACAGTGTGATGTTTGTTAGTAATGGTCCCAAAGGGGGAAATATTGTTCAAACAAGTTTAGGACAAAAAGAATCCTGTATTTATATAACAGCACCTATTCAGCCCATGATACTGTTCACTGCATAAGTATATTTTAGAAGACAGCTTTGGCTTAGAGAAGCTTGTAATCAAGTTATATGTTTGATCTAAAAACAAAACATTGACAGAAAACTTTTCCTCTCCATTTCCGAATTTTAAATATTTGGACCAACTCTAATATTTACTGGGTGCATTTGCTTTAGCAAGTACTAAATGACTGTTCAGTACACATTGGTACTGTGCAGTCCTGGCAGCACATGCTTATTTTTAGATACAATGTCACTAGTGATGAGCTACAGTGACCTAGCTCATTGTTAGGGCGATGTAGCGTTGGTGTTGCAGTTTGTGCCCACTGATGCTACATTGCTGTAGCATCTCATTTAGATGCACCCAATCAAACTGTAATCTGTTCATCTTCCTTATTCATTTGCCAGGTAGCATATGTGTAAAAATTATTTCACAGTATACCTTGGACTAGATTTTGCAATCTTTATTCATATCACCTTTGATTTATACCGTGGGTAGAATTGTTCTTCTTTTGAATGATTGTCAGAAGAATTTAGAAAAGTAGCTATTAACATTAATGTACAAAGCTCTTGGCATTTTCAGGAAGCAATTGGCATCTGATGTCAAATATCACAACCTCGGCGGATCCAAAGATGCATGCTTTTTTGGGAATCTTTGTCCAAGAAATTCTGAATATTATACCCATAGAATCAATTAGATCAGCACTGCCCAACTTCTGAGCAGCTGAGGGCTGCAGGCCTCCCTGCTCTGCTGTGCCACACCATGCAGCACTGTGCTGCACTGCATGGGGACTCCACAGAAGGCCCTGCGCCTTCTGGGCTGTGGACTCCCTAGGTCCAGTGGGCTATATTGCACTGTCCTGTCTTCAGGAGCTGGGGCAGGATGTAGAAGCTGGGGGAGGGAGTGGGAGCTCAGAGATGCCAGTGGCAGCAACAGGAGAGCAATGTGGGGAGAACATCTGGACTGCAACATCTGGCTGCCCGTTAGACATCCCTGTATTAGATGATTGTCACACACTTAAAATATGATGGAAATATCCTTCAAAATTCATTTGGACATTTCCCATTTGCATCTTGTCATTCTTTGTTACCCATGGAATGATCCAATCAGATTTCTCAAAAATCAGGTTATTGTGTCAAAGTTTCCGAATCACTTCTTCCCTAATGCTTATAATGAGGGAGTTTAGAGTTGTGTTAAATGGGGGGAAATTTGACTATCTGATAATTAAAACCCACCTAAGTTACTCCACCCTTTGAGCATCCCATTTGCTTATGTCCATCCTATTATACAATATGCAGTCAAGGACAGGGAATATTTTTGTGTGTGCTTTTAGAGAAATAATCAAAATTTGTCAGCCGGGAGCAAATAACACTCTAATAAATAGTAACAATTTTCTGCTTCTATGACAGATTTCTCTGTGACCTTGTGCAAGTCATCTCACCCCTCTGTATCAGTTTTTCACTGTCACATGAAGATGTTTACCTGAAAAGCTGTTGAGACTCAACTGAGATAGGACAGTACAGAGCACTATGCTATTAAATATTGTTTTTATCCATACATTGAAATGGTTACGGTAGGCATAAAAAAAGTATACAGTAGACTGACCTGCTGCTCATTTTCCCCCTGTTTTTCTAATACAGAATCATTGAAAACTAGCAAGTTCTACTGGGTTGTTATGTACATTTTCAGATTTTTTTTCTGGTGTAATTTTCTTTTAGTACAGCAGGTGGCTCTATTGTTAATGATTTTCTTGTGTAGCTGTTCATTTGGTAGATAGTTATCCATGTGAATGTGGACAATAGTTTCTTTACGTTCATCTTTTGCTTTCCATTTGGGGAAATCAGTACTGACTGAACATGTCCATCAACTCTTCTCCAGTTTTGAAACTTAAGAGACTGATTTGTTTTGTTACGTTTTGGGTTTTTTTTAAGAGATGCAGGAAACTCAGTATTCTAGTTGAATTTAGCACTACTAATAGATGCTCAATACCTCTTAAAAAGCACTCGGTTCCCAGGGATTTATCCTCTGCAATTGGATTTCTTGCAGCCAATGTCATAATAAAAACCCTTGTCTAAACTGATAGTCACCTAAGGTAATCTGTGAGCCTAAGTTTCTGCTTCTGGGCAAGTACATAACCACTTAATCCTTGACAGTACAGGGTAGCTAAGTGTCTGGAATATGGCCATATCACATTGGGGTTCAGAAAATGGGTAAATACCCAACCTACTTTGCTTCTGGGTCATAATTCTGCAGGTGTGTTTAAAAGGTGAAGGAGAAGGTAGTGCAAACTCTCCTTTGGCCCACTTTTTGTCCAATAGTTAGAAAAACGGTTCTCAACCTTTTTAGACTCGGGGCATGCCTTGGAAGATGCCAGTTCTTAACTTTCACTCATTTTTTGACTATAGGAAAATAATAGAACAGTTCTTCTGTTGCAAAGGACTCAGAAAAACCTCAACAGTTTAGAATGGTTTTGACACTTTTTGGATTCCTATTTGAAATCCAAACCTGGGTTTATCTTGTGAATCATGTGTAGGTGTTTCCATACCTATTGGAGCTAATATTGTGTTGCAACCCCCAGCACCCTTAGCAGGATCTCACAGCAAGTTAGAATGGATTGTTATGTACATTTTCAGATTTTTTCCCCTTAGTGTAATTTTCCTTTAGTACCCCAAGGCACCCTCATTGAAAATCACTGAGTTAGAACAGTTAGCAACCTTTTAACTGTAGGCCAGAATGACAGGAAAAGTACCCACTTCCACTGCTTCTCTTTGCAGTGGCATGGGAAAGCAACCACCAGCAAAGCTCCCAGCTGCCAAAAACCACCGAAGCCTGACATTCGTGGGTTGGATCAGGTGGCTCTGTGGCTTGCCAACCCCTGAGTTAGACTGTTTTCCAGGGCTGTGGCAAACACAGGTTCAGATCCACTCACTATCTGAGCAGATTTGATCACGTATCCCATCCCCTTCATGAATTTTCTAACAAGGCTGTAGAGGATTTCGGACTAAGGCTTTATCAGTCCTTCCTGTTGAATCATCTGGTTTGGGGTTTTTTTGCATAAAATTCTTAAATATTAATTAAAGGAAGCAGTAGAATGAGGTGTGTCCCGTCCCAAGTGATTTGCTAAAAGTTCCTGTTGTTTTTGGTGAGCTTCACTCCTTGTTCATGGCACGTGGCTAGTTTAATTGTAGCTCAGTTGCTGTTGGCCAGTAGAGATAAGGATTTTTTTTTTAAGTTATTTGTTTTCTATAGCACTTGTTGTCAGTCCTATTAACCTTGATACAGTTGTGCTCACGTTGAACCTGGCTTCCAGCTTGGAGAGGTCTCATAAGTAATTGTACAAAGACAACAGAATTTCAAAGTCTCTGGGTGCATCTACATGTGCACAGTTACTGCACAGTACATGTGCACGTCTACATGTGCGTGCCCATACTGAGCATCATCTATGACAACTTATGCTGAGTTGGGAGTAAATATATGCCCACTTAGTTACTGCACAGTAAGGCATGTGTAGAAGCCTTACTGCGCAGTCATGCTCTGTGTGTGCTCCAGCTTGGGAGTAACTTTACTCCCAAGTTGGAGCACACACAGAGCATGACTGTGCAGTAATGTCTACAGGTGTAGATGCTGGTCTAAAAGCCACTAACTGCACAGTAAGTTACTGGGTAGTAAATACACTTGTAGATATGCCCGCTGAGGCATAACTTTCAATGGTATTATTGTAGAAGTGGTTTGGGACCCCAGGCCCGAGCTAGTACTGCTTTGTTCTAATCACCTTACAAGCACCAACCTAAGGCGGGTTCTATTCCAAAAGGCCTACGATTTAATCAAACCATTTGCAAAAGGCAAATTATGGATTTTATTTCTTTATGGGAGAGTAGGAGTGGGAGTATAGTTTGTTCTGCAGGCACTTCTGGCATTCATCTAGAATGTTTGCCTGTTTAACTTGTGACTAACGCTTTCTGAATGTGCTGATTCAGTGCTACCATCTTGAATCTGAAGACAGATGGCTTGAAACAAATTGTCTTTTGATCTGGGAGCCGACAAGCAACTTTAGCAATCAAGCTATGCACTCCCAGCTTCATCTGGGGCTGTTGGGGACTCTTTTTGCACAGGGTAGTCAGTGTCAGAGTTGACCTGAAGGAGCTTCTGTGCCCCTTGTTCTCTGTACTAACTTCCTCAAATCCAGCTACACTCCATTTTTGTACTGGCACTGGTTGTTGGATAGTGGGTAGGATTTAGCTTGGAGAAGTGCCGATTGCTTCCTTCCAATTCAGTGAGGTATTAACTCTGCAGTTCCTTTGTCTCTGTTCATTCCCCAGAAATACTGTGTCCCAGATATAGAAGGCTTTAGCATTCCTCCTCCTGTTCGACATGCACTTGAAGCACTGGTGGCTAGGAAAAAATAAAGTGTTCTAAGCTCACTGAACTTATGTCTTCTGAATATTTCTGCATGATTATGGCCTGCTTTCTGGAAATGCTCCGATTCGTTATTTTCAATGAGAGATGATGGTGCCCAGACGTCCTGAAAAGCAGACTAGGAGTATGTTATTTTAGATGTTATGGTGCAACTTCTAGACCTCTGTAACTTACTGCTATTGTGAAAATTAACTACAGATGGAAAACCTGACAGATATTTTGCAAGTTTTAGAAGCCTGTAGGTAGTACAACAAAAAATGAAAGGGTAACGAGAAGGACTGGGAAAGGGCAGTGGAAAGTTGTGAGTTTG